GTTCTTGAACCCAAACATATTAAACATCTGTCTCTTATACACATCTAGATGTGTATAAGAGACAGATGTAAGACCTCCTGCACTTCCAGCAAGGAATGCCAAAAAAAAACCACCTTCCGAAAATTCATAATGATATTTGCATGGTTCTACAAAAGTTTCTATTACTGTAATATAAATTGTTTCCCAGAGAGCAAAATGTATTTTGATGTCTAAAGAAAACTCATTTAAACAAATATTAAACTGAAAATGTTATAATTTTTTAAAAATATATCCATTTTAGTATAGTTTTATACCCGAAAGGACAGAAGTTTTAGAATAGTATGGACTAACTTTGTATATCCATCAACATTAATACCTTTCGGGTGAAGGGTTTTTAATTTTTTAATCCAAAACGATTCTCTTCTCTTGATAATTGATTCTTGTTTATTAATGATACGCTCAATACCTATAATTGATATATATTTTATTGAATGATTAGCTTGATTAAAATGACGGCCAACTAGTAAGTTTTTTTTCTTGATGGGACATTATGGTGTTTAATATCTGATTTATGATTTGTGAATCTAGTGTAAAGGGATGTAGTGGTTTTCCCCACGTATTGTTTACCACATTAATTTTGACATGTGATTAAATAAATTAACCAATCCATTTTGTCTTGAATGAGTGTTGTGATTGGGAAGGATCGCATTTTTTTTGAGGGGTACTGAATAAAACTAGTTTCCCCTTCTGATGGTTTTTTGGGGGTAATTTCTGTTAGATCCTTTAGGTTTTTTGCTCTTCTAAAAGCCACAATCGGAGGCTCCGAAAATAGTCTTTATATCCTCTGATTTGTTTAGGGTCGGCATATTTTTTTTTAATTGTGTGAGACACATTAGCGAGTCTTGGATCTTAAGTGAGAACAAGAGGCACCCTGTTTATTTGTTTCCTTTTATTATATTTGAGGAGGTCACTTCTAGGTTTTTGTGTACCTCAATTTATAGATTTTATTACAATACTCTTTTTGTAATTTCTGTTAATTAAGTGTTCCTGAAGATCTAATTAGTGTTTATTAACACAATTTTCCTCATTAAAAATACGACGAATGATAAGTGTTTGACTATATCCTATGCTTGGAAAAATATGATTAGGGTGAAACGAATTTGGTAACAGATAAAGATGAGCATCTGTTGGTTTTGTATATAGTTGAGTTTTAAGTTTATCTGTTTTCATTTCGACTAAGATATCAAGAAATGGGACTTAGGATTTAGATTGTTCGAATGTGAATTTAATGGTAGGGTGAAAGTTGTTGACGTGGTTCTTAAAAATGTTTAAATTGTCTTCATCATTAGTCCAAATGAAGAAAATATCGTCAATGAATCGTTTCCAACAAAGAGGGCGGGTATCAGATGATGCCAATAGCCGTCTCACCAAGTTATCCATAAAAATATTGGCATATGAGGGCGCTACTGGAGCACCCATTGCCGTTCCCTTAATTTGAAGATAATGAGTATCATTAAATATAAATTTATTCAATTTGAGAACTAACTCTAAAAGTCTAATTAAGTGATCGGTTGGTGGGGTAAGATGTGTTCGTTTATTAAAACCTTCTTCACATGCCTGTAAACCGTCCTTATGCATTTGTATATAATGAGGAGACATCAGCCGAAATTTATTGTGTGTTATTAGGGCCTATGCTATTAAGCTCCTTGTAATATACATGGATCATTTAAATACTGTACCATTATGTGAGATGTGAGCCCTCTAGAGTTTGTGAAATAAATTGTTCTGGAAATGAAGTCATTGTGTACGTTTTGATACGTTCTTGAACCCAAAGATATTAAACATTTTGGCGACGAGGATGGGATCTTTGAAATGATAAGTGATCCAAAACATTACTGTATAGTCCAGGACCAGATAGAACACAATGGCACTAATTGGTAAGATAGGCAAGTATAAGGAAGGGGAAGAACAGTTTGGGAACTACCTTGAGAGGCTCGAACAGTTTTCCGCGGCTAATTCGATAGCAGACGAGCGAGCTATGAGCGTGTTTCCTACGGTCATTGGACCGAAACCGTACGCCTTATTAAAGAATATAGTATCACCAGACAAACCTAGTGATAGAACATTGCATGAGCTAAAGCAGTTATTGACTAAACACTACACACCCGAACCGCTTGTTATTGCGGAAAGGTTCAAATGTCATCG